ATCATCCAGGTTGGAATGCCCCTTCGCCCCTTCACACATGTAAGCACATTATCCATGGGTCCCCGCAAAGCCTGTTGATTTCACGGCTGAAGGGCTTCCTGTCATCCACGCCCCTGCCTCCACTTGCAAATCCCTTCTTGTCTGTCTGATTCTACGCCAACTGTAAAGTGGATACACATTTCATTAACCTAAGCACCCCTCTCCTTCACAGTAAATCCTAGAGGTGTATCCTCCTCCCCGGTACTGTACCAGTAGTCTTTGCATGAGCACAAAACCCCAGAGTGAGTAATACACACGTCCTGGAACCCAGGCAAGAAGCCAGGGATTAAGGATGTGCTGGGAGGCACAAGACACAGACTTCGAGATCACAAAGCAAGGCCTTAGAAAGCCAAGTGTGCACCGAGCACAGCCAAGGAAGAAACAAAGCTCTTGTATTGTATTTTTGATGACAGTAATCAAGCAGAGTGCCTAAGCCTAGCGGATTCAAGAGAAGTAAAGTACATGCTAAACTTGAGGCTTTAGTTACCCCCCAAACTCTAAACTCTGAGCACAAACCAGTATGAGACAAATATCAACAAGAATATGTAGGGTTTGTGGTTTGGGGTTGGTGGTGGTACTAGGAGCAGGGAGGGAGGAAACGCCCATGATGCTGCAGTTCTGAAGTGCTCTGCCTGGTGCAGCTGGCCTGGTTTTTCCATTACTCAGTACAAAGTCTGTTTCCTGGGATCCCAGAAAGAGAAGTGAAAAGTAGCTTTCCCTGCCCTCTTTGGACCTTCCCTTTTATCCCTATCCCTGAAGCACCCAAAGATGCAGTGGCCCCTACTCTCACATCAGCCATAATCAAGGATAGAGGCCAAGAGGAAGGAAGTGGTCCAAGAGCACTGCAAAGCCGAGGGGCCCTCCCCACCCAGTTGCTTGGTGATGATGTCACCATAACCAACTTACTTAGTAATTGGAAGCTGAGGGCCCCACAGACCACTGCGACTCCCCTCCTGAGGGCTGCTGGGCCCTGACATTCCAGTTCATCATGTGGCAGGAAAGGGTCTAGAGCACTGACCAACTTCAAGAAGCAAATGCCCTAGACGCGTGCATTTGCAGCTTGGAAGCAAGCTGCATTCAAGCAGGCACAGCACAGACCTGCTGCTTGGCTACAAAGCTCAAATACAAATCCTGCTGCTCCATTTCTGCCAAAACGTTGGCTACCCAGACCCCAGCCAGTCTGTGAACAGCCTACTCATATAAGCGGTTCCCACAGCAGTCTACACCGCATGCCTCGCCACTGTCAAACACTCTCTGAACTCTGAATTAAACACTAGCATTTCTTTATTTTACACTACACAGAGTGGAAAGTTACCAAACACAGAAGTGGGGGTGAAATATAAAGGGTTTTGAGGATAATTCCCTGCCTCCTTTGCCATAGCACTCAAGCCAACACAGGCCCAGCAGGTCACAGGGGGCCAAGGGACACAGTAGGAGAAGGGCACATCCCGTGAGCTACTAGTGAAAGCATGCCTCAAGCCCGGGCAGCGTTGGATCGTCTCATCACAGGCAGGACCTGGTCTCAAGCACTCAACTTTTTAATGAGCTTCCACTGATGCCAAGACTGATGCTGCACTCGCATCTGGACAGGTGTTCTCCCATCTCCTACAAGGACGCGAGAACTAGATGGCCCCCTTAGTCATTCCAAATGGCAGAGAACGGAGGGGCTGAAGCTTCCCCAAATGGTATGGGGAGGAACAGTCCCAGTGAGAGAAAACCTCAGACCACAGTGACTAGAGGTCTTTATCTATCATCTAACATGCCATATCAATCCCAGACAAATTACAAAATCAAGAAAAAGGGAAGTGTTTTAAAGACCAGGAGATGGGGTTCTGAGTCTTAACCCAGCACTCAGCATATTCTGTCTTGGCAGAGAACAACTACACCCTGTTGGCTCTTCCAATAGAATATAGGCAATAGCAAATTTTGGAATATACTTATAATCTGCTTTATAATCTCAAAGTATTCATGGTCAAGTATTATACAATTATGAAAGAACTCCGGGCACATGACTATGAGCAACTTGCTCTAGACCACGCAGCTATCATTCAACATTCACCTGTGGATTCCAGAAACGTAACAGGTAATCCCTGAGCCAGGCATGGTGCATACACCTGAAATCTCAGCACTCAGGGGTATGGTAGGAAGAGTTTGGGTTCAATGGTCTGCCTGAGCCACAGAGTGAGACCCTATCTCAAAGTAAGAAGGGTGAGGAAGGGGAAGGAAAGATAGGGGGAAGGGAAAGAATAAGGGGGGCAAGAAAAACCCAATGAAAAGTAAATAGAGAAGTAAATGTATGTATGTATGTGTGTGTGTATATATATATATATATGTTTATGTCACTTGCAAGCCTATACATAAATAATTACCTTAATATAAATATACAATAAATATTAAAGCCATATTTTTAAGTGTTAATGTTAAATTCTATAGAAGAAGCTATCCAGGTATCCTCACAATATTAAAACGTATTAGGAACTAAAGGCTAACAATACCACTTTTGTCTTACTCAAAAGTAGCACATTAACCACAAGACCACTCGCATCTCTTTGCGGAATATAATCAATATTTGATCTAATTACTGCTAAACCAAGCCAACACTTGCATTCCCCCAAATTACTACAACATCCAGGACTCCGTCTAGGGCCCACATTGCCCTCTAGTGGCAACTACTACCACACGGGCACAGCAGAGAATGCCTTCCTCAACAGGAGGCTCAAACTCTCCCCTGCTTTCTCAGATAGGTCCACTGTGGTCTGAATGAGGGTATTACAGGTTCACATGTTTCAATACTCGGTCTCCAACTTGTGGTGTTTGGGAAAGTGGAACCTTTAAGATGTGGAAAACCTTGCTGGAGGAAATGCCACTGACTTTGAGTTTTATCTCCTAGCCCCATTTCCTGTTCTGTCTACTTCTCCTGTGGAGAAGAAACGCCATCACTCTGCTTCTAGACTGGTAGGACAGTCTCAGGCTCCCGCTACCATGTCTTCTGCTTGTCACAAACAGCAGGAACCTTTCTGCACTGTCAGCCAAAATCAGCTCTTTCTTCCCTAACTTGCTTTTTACCAAGGTATTTCATCACAACACAAAACTAATTAATACAGATAAACAGGTAATATATTTTAAGGGAATTCTCAATATAACTAACTCTACTACCACACTAATCATTTTTGTTCAGTTTATAACAGAATAAGCATTTTAGAATTTAATCTGACAGAGTCCTTGAACCCAGTGCCTTGTTTCTGGTACCTGCTGTAAAGTAAGCAAGTTTCTCAGAGAGTTCTGGAACCGTGGGATATTAATCAGAAACATTGTATCATAATCTCTACCCTTGGTATAGGCAGCCTCCCTAACACTTACTTTTGCAATTGCTTGTGGGTAATTTGAGTTTCCCATAAATGACTGCAGGCCATGACCCTTTTGAGGGCTGTTTATTAGCTATCCTACATTATTAGATATTTACATTATGACTCATAACAGTAGCAAAACTACAGTTATGAAGTAGTAAAAAGAATAATTTTATGCAACATAAGGAACTATATTAGAGAGTCATGGCAATGGGGAGGTTGAGAAACACTGGAATAAGGCTTTATTTCTTTTTCCTTGAAGATTTATTTATTTTTAACTTGTGGGCATGAGTATGATTTTGCCTGTATGTTTGTTTGTGTTTCACGTGCATCCTTGGTGCTTGTGGAGATCCCAAGAGGTTATTGGACCCTTAGAACTGGAGCTACTAATGGCTCTGAGCGGCCATGTGGGTGCTGGAAACGGGCCCTCTAAAAGAGCAGCTGACCTCACGACCATCTCTCCAGCCCTGAGGCAGAAGCCTTAAGTCAAGACAGCAAGGCTGAAGAGCTCTTGATGGACTTAAACAAAACACACAGAACAATGCTGGCACAAAAACCTCAGCACTGCAGACAACTCGCGTCTACGTGTGAAAATCTCAGCGTTCCTAAACCTCTCCTCTACTACACAGATAGAAAACATCCATCTATGGGTCGAGAACACCATGCCCCGTGCCTCCCCTCAGTGAGCTGACAATCACGTGGACTCCTCTGCTCTCTTACGGACAGAACTCATTTCTGCAGAGACTTCCCAGAGACAGAAACTCCACTCAGTGTGCGCCATGCTTTCAACACGCTGCTCCTCTGTGGATGCTACGATCTCGAACCTGTTTCTGAGGAAATAATGGCTAAAATGGCTCCCAAACTATTCCAACAGAGGAACACTCTGGGATGTGTGTCAGGACCTGCCTGGCAAAGAAAGCATTTTGGCTTGTTCCATTGTTTCAGCTTTTCTTTCCACAACCCCAGGACCAATGCCAAGCTTATGTAAAAAGTTAGCTACATTGTTTGCTCTGAACGTTTGCTAATATTTACCTCAGTATTGCTTTCCATCTAACACAAGCGGCATATATGAGGAGCATTTTTTTTCATTATAAAAATAATACTTTTATTTTTCTGAAGACTTAGAAAGAAAAGCAGGCTTTGAAAATTTTATCTTTTATATGAAATTTAAATTGTATAAAAAATTTGAATTTATACTGCAGTTCACTAGCAAAACAATCTTTTGATAGGAAAAAATAAAAAGTATAATTGTTATGACAATTCAAAGACCATGCTCATATACAGCCATGTGCTGCCCTCTGCTGTGCTACAGACTAAATTACATCCCCAAACTAAAGTCATGGATCTATATAAAGTCAATCATTAGACAAGCCATGTACTAAAACTAAAAGGTAGAGGATGATGAAAGGTAAATAGAGGTCAATAAAAGATTTCCTCATCAATATTTTAAGGGAGCCCCAACCCAATGTGTGTTTTACGGGGAGTCACCCTGGTCCCAGAAGAGAAAGATTGGCATTGTGCAGGCTTTTATAAGACATACATCGTAGTAAAGACGTCACATTTACTGAATGAGAAGAAAACAGGACAAAAAGGAAGAAAAGTAATTTTAACTACCTCTTGGCTATCTTTGTTTTGGTTCGCCCAGAAAATTTTATGATAGAGCGTCTCCATCGAATTGCTGGAATCGGTGCGGTCAAAGCAATGACGGTCCAAGACTTCCAGTGTGTGCAAAACCCGACTAATAGTAACCCCTAGGTGCAGAAATTAAGGAAGCAATTAAATCAGCCAGAGCATTAGAGCATTAAAAACACCACGACACAAGGGAGAGAGCTTTGTAACTCTCAGCATATACTCTCAAGAAACCGCAGGAACTAAAGTAGACAGACATTCCAGGCGGCCAGTAGCTAAAGGCCTGTAGCTCCCTCGTGCCTGAGCGCCTTGCCAGCCCGAGGAAGACAACACAAGGCTGATGGCTCTTCGGCGGGATACTGTACCTGCCGTCGACTCCTGACACTTGTCAAAAGACCACCGGACCTCTACTGCACGGCCTCGCTGTTTGATCTGCTGTTCTACCTCATAAATCCTTGCCCGGACCTGGAAGATAAACACTTCAAATTAACTTGTACTTGGAAACTCTGAATGGCTGCCTGAACAATGTAAAGGCTTCTTCTACGTGAGTAGATCCTCCTCTGGTGAGTGACAATCTCTACTGTATCGCAGGAAACCTAAGTTCCTGCATGAGCCATGCATTTTTAACTTTACAAGTGACGGTTTGATTCAATAGTAAATGCTTATAAAAACAAATGCCTGGGGGAAGTGTAACAAGTGAAATTCCTTCACAATATGTAAGGCAAGGCAGAGTTCGAGTATCTCTGAGCCACTGGTCCAAGCAGGAAACGAATGAGCAGAGCTTCAGTTACTTAAGGAAACAGCTCAGTGAAAGGCAAGCGTCTTGTGCTAAGTATCAGGCATAATCCCAAAGCTGAAGCCGCATTATGTCATAAAGCAAATAAAAATACACAACAATTACTAAACATCACAAGCTCTTATTCCAGGGCTCACAGTCGGGATCAGACTCTTCACCAAAACTGCTGGGGTGGCAGCTGCCTGGGTGGCAGAACACTCTAGGAACATCTGTGTTTCCAAAAAAAAGTCAAGAAAGATCCAAAAAAAAAAAAAATCACCTAGAGTCATGGCAGAGCTGGGACAGTCACTACGGTATTTCAGGTGGCCCACCATGCCCAGGTGCTTCTGGGGAACGAAAACATTCATAAAAGCAATGAAGCAAATGTCTACCTGCTGATTGAAAGCCGTATTCCCACCCGGCATGGGGAGGCTGGAAGGGGCAACCTGCAGCAGATCCAGGGGAGAGCCTGGGTTTGCGATCTTATTTTCGTTTGTGGAATAGTTCCACACCAAGGCACTTGGGCAACACAGAGTGACAGTCTAGAAACAAAGCAGGAATATCCCAGACATTTAGAGGAAGGAGAAAAGTATTAACAGCAACTTCAATTTAAAAAAAAAAATGGCAGCAGGTTTCCTACAGATGATCGTAAAATACAAATGTCATTCCCCACAATCAGCTACCCAAGTGGTAAGACAGGACTTATGAGTCATCAACACAGCTACCGAGAAATTAGTGTGGTTTATTACCTAACACTCCAACAGAGGAAATGTAGGAGGCTGAGTGAAATATAATATTTGTTACTTTCGAATGAATTTTTTATAGTTAAGCAAAAGGAAATACAATTAGAATGTTAATTGCTAAGATTACAATTTTTATTGTTTTTTAAAAACTCTTAAGTAGTGTGTCTTAAAGCTTGACTAACACCCAGCAGACACCCCCCCCCCCCCCCCCCCAGGAATCATCCAGCGTTTCCATAAAAGTCTGGACAACAAATATTTCCAGCTTTGCAGACCACCTACAGTTTCTGCCACAGATTTCCCTTTGGTGATTTCAGTTACACAATAAAAATGGGAAGCCTATTCTTGGCTCGCAGACTAGACTGGTCTAGAGACTAACTCCCCCCACTTGTACCCTAGACTTTTGTGGACACTGTTTTTAAGCTCAGCCAGATTGTACGCAGCAGTCCTTCCAAAACATCACACCTGTTTCTGAGCCAGGTGCTGCTGGCTTAGCTTTATCTCAAAAACGCCCATCAAAAGGCAAATAAATGATGCTTCCCGTATCTCGAGGCAGGCTCTGAGATCGGAATGGCTTCATAGGTCACCACTTAACACAGTGCCTGAAACCAAACCTAATACAGTGTGAAAGACACTTAGAAAGGACAGGACCGTGACAGTGGTTTTACGGCTTGCTTCTGTTTCCAGACTATAATTTCCCGCTGTTCTTTCCCCGTATACCCAACCCTCCTATTCTCCTTGACGGGTTCTCCTCGACATCTCTCAACCATACGTGCCTTTCATATCAGTAAGTCATTTGTCACTAGGAGCTCTGTGGGCAGCCTCAACCCACCTCGGGTCTGCCTCGTCTTCAGAACTAGAAATGTTCCCATCTCTTGAGCATATCCACAAGCAGAAGAACAATCCTGGCATCCTTTGGCATTCTTGAGGTACTAGCTCCAAGACCCCTCTCAGATATCTAAATCACAGATATGCTCAATCTCCTAAAATTGCATAGTATTTGCCTAGGATCCATGCCGTCTCCACATCCTCCAAACCACCTCTCCATTACATCAATGGCATGTGAATAGAAGTCACACTATGTTAGTTTGGAAATAAGACAAAAATGTCTGTGCACACTCAGTATACACACATAAGTCCTCTAGCCCTTTTTCTATGCTATACCCCACCCCCACCCCACCTCCCAGTCAGGAAACTTTTCCACTGAAACTACAAAACACCTACAAAGGTCCCTGGCTTTCAAGGTGAACAAGAAGTTCCCTTTTGAAGCACCACAGCCCCTAATGTATTTCTCTCTTGACACTTAGCATATTCTATACAAGCTCCATGTATAACTCTTTCTTCTTATCTGGACAGTGAACTCCAAGGAGACCCTGTTTTTCAAACACCTTGAGTCCAGGCCCCTTGGCAAAGAGCAAGATGCACCAAGAACTCAAGAACCAGAAACTGAACGCTGAGAGGACCGCTCTCATGCCTAGATGAAGGAGCCAGAGCTAGCCCACTGCTGTGTTCAGGGACAGCACAAGCAATAAGGCCTGACTTTAAAGAGACGCAAAGGCATCCAGAGAGGCATGGAGCTCAAGATGCCAACTGCAGACGCTGAGAATGCTGCCCAGAGAAGACGTCTCGGCAGAACAGCAACACAGCTGACCTGAACTCCTGGCAGGATATGCAAGTGAACTGCCTCGCCATCCTAAGGATGGGCAGCCGGAAGCCAGACGTGGCATTTCTCACCTGCAATCAGAGAGCTTAGGAGGCTGAGGACTGCTCTAAGTTTCTGCCCAACCTAGGCTACAGGGGTGAGCCTGCCTCTAAGTCAATGAAAACACCACAAAGGACAATCACAGTCATTTTCTTCTTTGTAGCTATAACAAGTCTCTCAGTCTGATCTAACAGTAATAGATCATAAATTTCTAATAAAAGTTACCGGGTCTTTCCCACAATGAATTCTAACATAAAATAATACAGACTATTACAGACTTACCTGCAACATACAACTAAGTCCATAAACCAAAGGGCCATGTTGCGCACAGGAAAGGAAATCCGAGAAGGCCAGCTGCATGGGGCTCATACCAGGGCCAGGGGTGCCAGGACTGGGGGTCCCAATACTCGTGTTGTTTGCTCCGATTATCATGTGGGGTGAGTGAGCAGCAAGGAGGTTGGGGCTGTCACTCAGTAGCAAGGAAAGACGCCGGGCACAAAAGTACGCTAGACGACGAGACAGGTAGGCAGACTGGACAAACTCATCTGAGTACTGAGAGAGGGGCAGAAGGCGAACAGGAGTCAGTCATGTCCTATGCTTCAGAACTAGTTCAATTTGACTCTCCTTACTAGGAAGAAAAGGCATAAATACAAGGCAGGCCAATGTGATCCAGCTATCACATAAAGTAAGCCACATACGTAGTCTTGAATTTTTTCCAATCACCATTAAGAAAATAAAGCAGGGATTCAAGAGATAGTACGGCAGTTACAATATGCTGACAGTTACAGTGGCTCCCAGCACCCCCACTTCAGGAGGCTCACAACTAACTACTCCTTATTCCAGATCCAAGGGATGGATGCACTCTGTCCTCTGTGGGCGCATGCATGCATGTGATGCACATACACTCATGCAGGCGCACACATATACACATAAGTAAAAATAAACCTTTAAAAAAGCAAACCGAAAGTCGAAGAGAATAATGGGCTGTATTTATGCCAATACTACCAAATGTATCACCTCAACAAGTAACTAATGGAAAATGTATCCAGGGTATACATTTTTGCATCAAATCTGAAGTCTGCTGTGCACTTTATTTTATTTATTTTATTTTACAATGTATCTCGGTTCATGGTGGTTACTTTTCAAGAGCTCAAATGCCCATCTGGTGAGGGGCTGAACAAGAAATGCAAGCACAGACCAACCCGGAAACTAACATAGAAGGAACAGGCAAGACTCTCTTGTGTGCAGCATCAGGGGAAGGTGTGAACGACATGGGAAAGTTGCCTGCCCAGTGATGCACTTCCAAGTCATCTGAACTATCACTATCTCTATGCATTACTAAGAAAAGAATAAGTCTCATTCAAAATACCATTATTTAACACTATTTGACAAATTAGCCTTAGTGACCCTAAGAATGCAGTTGCTTGGCTGCCGTGTCCCACGGTAACTTGCTCAGAGAGGAGAAAACCAATGTGGGGAAATTATGTTTGGGTTAAAAAAAAAATAACCATGGACATAAGCAATAGACATGCTTCCGTAGCATTTAAAACATTTTCTCCCTTTCAGAAGGAACGGATTTCCCCTTTCTACCTCTCCTTGCCTAGTCGTTCCTATCAGACTCATCTCTTGCCATTTGCTCGACTAGGTGGCGCTGAGACACACCATACCTGCAGCATCAGTGGCAGAAGGAGCTTGAGAAGGTTGTCGTCCACTGGTCTGATCTTTTCTAGGACGTCCAGGATCCACGTCAAATACTCATGTTTTTCCAACATCCCTTCCTTAAATGAAGAAAGGGTACACTACTGATGACAAAAATCCCCTATGGTTTTAAGATACACTGCCGCCGTGTAAATCCAATCCTGTGTGATTGTCACAGGGTCACAACCCACAGTCCAAACCCCAAACAAACAAAGACGTAGAGGGATTGGGGGGAAGCAGTATGTGTGACCAGGGGTTTTAGTTTTGTTTCTGGTAACACACTTCATTCTAAACTTATTTTTTAAAATTCAGATATTCAGAAGCCATCACATTCCAGGCTGACACATCCCAAGAAGCTATCAGGAGCATGAACTCATTTTCAGGGAACAGATGGGGCTGACTGTGATCACTCTGCAGAAGACTACTCATACCACTGTCTCCAAGGTACAAAACCCACACCAGACTCCGGGCCTAGAGTAAATCTTAAATGACTCTCAGATTTGTCTACCTATAAATGTATTGTTTGATTGTTCACTAAATGATGGAAAAGATAGACTTTTAATAAAACCAATTTTAAAATAATTCTATACAACCATCCTAAAAAAAAAAAGCAAAAAAAAAAAATCCAATTACCCCTCTGTCATGGCATGGTGCCTTTTCCCTTATTATTTTTTTCTTTTTTTAACCAAGGCATTTGCTAAGCACTCTACTACTGAGCTACATCTCAAAGATGCCACTGATGCTAACACATTCATAATGTCCTTTGTCACTGCCTTCATACACACGCGAATGCACGCATACACACATGCCTGCCTGTATACACACATGTGATATGGGATGTCCTTCTGTATATGTGTTGCTTTTATTGAGTAATGAATAAAGTTGCTTTGGGCTATGGCAGGGCAGAATATAGCCAGGCTGAAAGACATATAGAGAGACAGTAGGCAGAGTCAAGAAGCCGCCATGTAAGAGACAAAAAAGAAGGGCATGCTGGAACCTTACCCAGTAGGCCACAGCATCGTGGCCTACAGATACAGATTAATAGAAATAGGTTCATTTAAGATGTAAGAGTTAGTCAGAAATACACCTAAGCTATTGGCCAAGCAGCACTGTAATTAATATTGTTTCTGTGCGATTATTCGGATCTGGAGGGCCCAGAACCAAAGAGGAGTCTCCCTCTACACACATGTACAAATACATTTGTATGACTTTCTAGACATATATACTTAATGTCATATCATAGTCTTGGTGTTATGTTTCATAGGATGAAAAACTTCAAAATAGAAACAATCCATGTTTTATGAAAATCATATGCCCTATTATGAATTTTGCAAACATTTAAAATAAACTTTACATTAATGTGTAATGATGGTGAGTACAAGGAAACAAAATTAATTTTAGAAAGGAATCCTGGGGCTGGGGAGACAGGTCAAGAGGTAGAATGTTTGCTGTGCAAGCATAAGGACCTGAGTTCAATTCCCAGCATCCATATTAAAAATTAAATAAATAAATGTTAAACATAGTGGCATGCACCCATAACCCCAGGGCAGAGAAGCTCATTGGCCAGCCAACCTAGACTAAGCCGAAAGTCCCAGTAGGAGACCTGGTTACCAAAAATAGGAAGGCTGGCTCCTGAGGAATGCATCAATACTCAGTGCTGACCTTTGGCCGCCGTGTATCCATGCAATCAGGACAAGCAATAGCGTGCACACGCGCACCCCCCCCCCCCACACACACACAAAACAAAACAAATTTAGTACATATTACTACTTTATTACATAATCTTTCTAAAAGCACTAAGTGTGTTGAATAAACATACTTCTGAGATACCAGCTGAGTGGCTATCTTAGTAAAAGCCATAACAGTGTGGAATAGGTTCTGAAGCAGTCAGCATAAGTGAGGCTGGGGTTCTTAAGAGCTATATTTAGTCATTTAAAAACTAACAATGCTATTTCACAAAAGAAACACACAGTGTTTGTTTGTTTTTCTATTTGAGTTGTCTCTAAAACTCACGTTTGCTGGATATTTCAATTGAAGTAATAATGGAATATTTAAAAACCATGAATTTCTTTCCTCTTTGAGTAAGATAATGAATAATGAAACTATGGGCTTTAGTTGAATACACCTTGTTGGGAATAAAAACAAAGGCAAATAATATCACAATTGACCTCTGATGGTAAAAAGAATTACAACAGACTGGGTGAGAACCTCAGAGTTCCTGTTTCCCTTAATTCACCGCTTAAATTTTCATTTCAAGATACAACTGAGCTAAATGAAGAGACCTTCGCATGAAAACATCCATTGTCAGGGGAGATCTGTTATGAGACAGAAAGCATCAGCACAAAGGAGTTTCTCAATAAATAAATATATCTAATTTTCAAAATAAAGTGTTTAAGAGGGTTGTGCTTAGCCGCACAATTACAAAGTAATTAGTGGCACTAAAATACCTGATATCACTGACAGATGAAGATAAATTTGTGTAACAAACTGTCATCATAAAGCACACATGTTCCCCTGAATGTACTGTAAGATATGTGCCTGGCACTGTCGTGCATGCCTGTAACCCCAGGGAGGCAGAGAAAGTCAACTACATCTACATAGGTGAGTTCAAGGCCAGCAAGAACTTGCCTCAAAAATTTTCATTTACATACAAATAAATGCTAAACTTCTTTCTGCGAACGCATCAGTTCATATAAAGATCCATTATTTAGCCCAGAAAATACAACTATAGATATCTGTCAGCATGTTTTGGTCAACCAAAGACCACACGTAACAGGTATATACTGTGTCGTACAGTATAAGTATGTAGCAGGCTCTATCATCTGCATTTATACATAAGTGTACTCTGTGATTTTGCAGAATGATAAGAGCACCTAGCAACCCAAACCTCAGAATGCAGGGATGACTGCATGTGGAAGGTGTGCTTTCCTTGCACGCCTTCGTCAGGTTACCTGGAACATATGAAATGCCAGCTTCTCGTTGTACTCCCACTGCTTCATGGCTTGCTCGACCTCTGGTGGCACGGGGACAGGACCGTCACCTGTACTGGAGGCCATGTGGTAAAAGTCAGAGATCTTGACTAGCTGCTCTCTAAGGTACCTGGTAGATATTTGCGTCCACTCTGTATTGAGAAGGGGAAACAGAGTTCTGATTATAGACACAGCTGTGAGAGTTTTACCTCCCCTCCCCTGATTACCCTGAGGACATACATTGAAGTCTAACATTTGTTACATAAAAATGACTTTTGCACGTGCAGCCATTACTCAAGAGAGCATGCCCAGACAGAGCCTGGCCAGATCTCAGGACTAAGCCATCCTCCTCTTGTGCTACTGTGACCCTAAAAGACTCTGAATGTGAATTTCAGCAGCTGTGATAAACAACAGTTAGTAGCACAAACCACTAAAGGGTCATCAGAAAACAGAATAGCAGTGCTTGTAAGAAATCTCAATCCAAAACTCAAGAACACCAAACCTCTCCCATTGTAGCTCCTAGGGTGTGTGTGATTTTTTTCCCACTCCATGTCAACTTTCAAACACGCGTGCACTGGATTTCTGTCTTCTACCGTTCTGACATCCACAGGCTAGACCATGAGCTTCCCAACCTATGCACCCCCAGGGTGTGTACAGACACAGGGATGGCTGACCCTGGTCTGACCATCTACGCCTTAGTTGCTTTGCTTCCTCTAACCAGCACTGATAGGCCAGAACTCACTTAGGTTGAGTGAGCAGCACTAAAAGCTAAGAAATGAAGAGGCGGCAGAAAAGGGGGGTAAGGGGCTGAGGAGATGGTTCAGGGGGTCAAGTCCTGTCTTTCCTAGAGTGAGGAGCTGAGTCTGAATCGCAAGAACTTCACTCTATCCAGGCAGACAGTACGACAGTACATGTCTGTAATGTCAGTGCTCCTATGGTAAGATGGGAGGCAGAGACAGAACGGGAGAATCCCTGAAAACGTGTGGGCCAGGGAGCCCGACGGAAGCAGCTCAGCCTAATAGCAAACAACAACGAAACCTTCCCCTCAGCCAAGGTGGAAGGCGAACTGAAAACTGAGGTGTTGTGGGGTAATAGGCAGCTTAGTGTATCTACTTGTGAACTATTAGTTATAGACAATTTACACTGGTATGGATTTGGATTTTGTTTTTTTGTTTTTTAAGACAGTGTTTCTGTGGGGCTTTGGAGTCTGTCCTGGAACTAGCTCTTGTAGACCAAGCTGGCCTCGAACTCACAGAGATCCGCCTGCCTCTGCCTTCCCAGTGCTTGGGATTAAAGGCATGTGCCCACCACCATCACCATCCGGCATAGATTCCTATATATTGATATATATGTAAAATTACCTTTGTGTTCCTAAGATAATTTGTATATTGATACAAATACAAATGATATTTATTATACTGAGTATGCTCCTATTTCTGTTTACAATATTTGAAGCTATTTTGTCATATTGTATGTATACGTGTTTCTACCTCTGCTTAAGATATTTTGTATGTTGATGCAAGTTGTGGATATTTTTTTATCATTTTGCACTATGCATTTCTACCTATGATCAAGATATTTATATGTACTGCTACATTTCGAGGTCAGTTGTCCTCATTACTGTACATCTGTTTACAGATTTTTTTTATTTTTTATAATGTGAAACTTTAGTCTTTAATCTATACTTAAGAATTACAGGTTAATAGTTACACATGCTTGTCATATGTTTAGCTATGTTAGTCAGGTTCTCTAGATGCACAGAGATATATACCACATAGATAGATATGTAATCTTCATATACTTCAAAGAACTGCAGAATATGCCATTTAAATAACTCAGGATTCTGTTGATGTGAGACACGACTGCTCCTGGAAGCACCGGTCTATTCCTTAGAAAATACTGGACACTGAAGACACTCTACTTGGAGTTTGTCTTCTTGGAAAAACTGGCCTTTGGGCATAGAACTGCCCTTTCCTCGACTACTGACAATATGCACACTGTCCAAACTGGACAAACAAGATACAGCTAAAAACAAACAAACAAACAAACAAAAAACTGCTGAACCATACCAAGACAGTCTTTCAAATTTTCCTGCTTCTGAAAATGGTCTGTCAGATACTCTAGACCTTAGCCAAAGTTGGTTGCCTCAATTCTGCAAAAGAGACTTTGGGTGATTGTTCAGGTAGCCAGCTATATCTGTCATTTCTTGCACCTTTTGGAAATCGCTTGCATTTCCTGCTTATTCTCAGGTAATATTAATTTCCTTTTCAGGTCTTTCATAGGGTTGAGGACTAGTTGGTCATAGCTACTTTGCTCTCATAACTTAACTAATTCATTTTTAATATAAGACTTTACTTCTCAGGATAGGAAAGACAGATGTTGAAATAATGTCTGTCATTTGTTCATTACATTAGACAGGACATTTAGCATGTGTTCTTGCTTGATGTTACTCATGCTGGTTATAGTTCTTGTGTATGTTTTTTCCCTTTCTTTCTCCTGGACAATACTTGATATTTGTTCTTATTGTATATACAGGTTTTTTATTAGGTTTAGAACCTTCTTATTTAGACAAAAGAGGGAAGTGTGATCAGTATTCTTTCAGCCTTTTGGGCACCGGCCCACTAGGGGATGGTCGGAGATACTAAGTGTGGACTGAAAAGCGCAGACAGGAAGCATGCTCGCTCTCTAGGGGGGTGGTCGGAGTTCTGTTTGCAGCTTCCAGCACCCACAGAGCAGAGGACCACAGTTCTCTATCCATCTTGTGAGGTTTCCCCAAATAAACACTTTCTATCCTTTATTCTGGGTTCTCGTGGACGTCCTTTAATGACGCCCATGCTGAGGCGAGCCTGTGACCTATGTATGGGGGCAATCCAATATTTCTGTCCCCCAACACAGACACGTACTCGCGCACACACAAAACAAAACTCACTAAAATTATTTTTTAAGATGACTACTACTGGGGCACAAATTAAACCGTGTTGCCTCTGGCAACCAGAAAGGATATGATACTAACTTTAGCCCGTTCTGTGGGCAAAAATGTAGTAACTGCAAGCTTGCAGCCAAATTTCTCCTAGAAGTTAGGAAAACAGCATTCTCGAAGAAGCCATCTAAAGGAAACAACTTCAATGTCTCCCCATTGTTCCTTCTCCCACTCTCTCAGAAATGAGGAGTGAAAAATCAATTGTCCAACAGTAACCAAGAATGTTGGCTCTATTTGTCAAATGCAACCAGAGACCACCACTGCTGAGTGTTAGTTTAAATAACCTGCTCCAACTATGTCTTGTAAACTAAAATCCAGTCTGGTGTGGTAATGAAAGCCTAAATGCCAACATATATTCCAACATACATTGGAAATGGATGCAAGCGATTTGGAGGTCACTCTTGCATACAGAGTAGGCTTAAGGCCAGCCTGGGCTACAAGAAACCTGTATCAAAAAAAAATAATAATAACAACATAAAGCAATAGGATTGAAGTGTACACAGCTGTTAAATTCCCATGATGAACCAGTGCAAAGGTGTATTCTGCTCCGAGTTTACTCATTGCTAAAACTGATCAACCGGAACTAAGAACATTCAACTATGAATGTCATCATTTTCTTGTCCCCTTGTGACATGGACTCATGGTCTCACGAAGCTTGTTCAATCAAAACACTAACCATCTACTGAGACAGAGTGAGGTTACCTCTACCAAGCAAAACCAGAAACACTGACACCGACTCTGGGTTTTGTGCAGCAAGCCTTGAGAGTAACAGGCTCTCAGTATGGCACTGTGGGCATGCCTATGGTACATTTCAGTCAAAACTAAAAATAACACAGATCTGCACACACCTACTTTGTCTCAGGCATTATTATCATTTTCTTTAAAATACAGAAGTACAAGTTTGCTATGGAAACCGTGTAATAAGATATGGATGCAGAAGAAAACTTGTAATATCTCACTAATCACTATTTGATTAAAGAAATACAGTGTTGTCCACATAATCACAGGGACGTGGTGTCAGCAGTTCCACCACGGATACCAAAATCTGCAGGTGCCCAAGGTCCTCATGCAAAACCGCATGGATTGGGCAGATGGCTCAGCCAGTGTGACACTTACCAACCAAAGGTGAGGACAGAGTTTAGGTCCTCCAGACCCAATAAATGTCAGGTAGTCATGGTGGCACACCTGAATCCTAATGTAAGGGAGGCAGACATATAGGACCCACAGAGCAAGAAGACTAGCTATGACCAGTGAGCTGTACTCAACCAAGAAAGCAAAAGATACCCAATATCAGCCTTGCACCTTCACATGCTTGCACACACGATTATGTGTACCTGCACTGACATGCACCCATGGACATACACACATGGACATGCATACGTATGGAAATGTTAATTTGCATAAAACTGTAACATATCTTCATACATCTTTTCTAAATTTATAACATAAAATAAAACGTAAAGCTTACACAAGTACTTACTGTGTAGATAGCTGACAAGCACAAAAGTCTATACATGTCCAGATTAGGTGTAATTTATTTCAAATATTTTTCCATCCCTGGATGGCTTAATCTGCAGTCAAAACCTATCTATGGATACACTGAGCTGAAAAGATGGCTCAGTGCATATAGCACTTGCTTATCGGAATTACCCTTGTAAGTTAAAATTCCCAGCACTCAGGAAAAAGCCAGACCTGCACATGTCTAGACTCCCAGCTCTGAGGGGCATGGGGGTAGATGTCATGGTAGACTCCTCAGGACTTGCTGGCTACCAGTCGGGCTCCATATTCAGTGCAATGGGAATATGGCAGAAAATGGTAGAGAAAACCACAATGTTTTAAAACGAATCTTTATTTTATAAACACATGCATATCTTTTCTTTAATCGCCAAACACACTACCCTGAGATCTGAACCCCTTTTAGGAATGAATAAATGCATCATCCCTTTGGGCACATTAACATCAGACATCTAATTATGATATCAAACAGCTGATCTCAGGATCTGTGGGAAACGGCACACGATTAAAAACTAGGATGCACAGAAAACTGTCATTAAAAATTGAAAGAGAAGGCGGGCGGTGGCGGTGCACAACTTTAACCCCAGCACTCGGGAAGCAGAGGCAGGTGCTTCTCTGTGAGTTTGAGGCCAGCCTGGTCTGCAAAGCGAGTACTTA